GGGGAAGGTATAAGGATATTGTATCATGAGGCACAATTAAAGCGTGATGTGTTAATAAGCAGTGCCCTCAGCTGTGCTTGACGATTGTCTTATGTTGGAGAAGATTGTGAGGATTTCTAAAGGTAACTTTGATTCATTTGACGTCTTATATAATTAAATGAATTTGTATTCATGCATAATAAAAGGAGAAAATGAAAAGAAAGTAACATTAACCTTTGCAATCTCTCCCTTATACAGAGAACTGAAGACCATTGGAGGCAATACCTTAATACACAGCGTCTCCTAATGTTGAGGATGAGATGCTGATCAACTCGACATTATCAACTACTGGCTGCCCCCTATTGTAAGAAGCCCAGAACTGCAACTGGGGAGTGGGAAAAAAAAAATCAGCATTTAGAGTCAAGCTGAGTTTCTACAAGCGGCTTGGCACAGGGGATCATGTTTGTTGCTGTGCAAGCAAATGGAATAAAGATCATACCGGTGCAAAGGAGCTTTAGCTAAACCAGGCATGGTCATTTGTTGTAATCTCTGTGGATGAGCTGATCCTCCCTACGTAACCTTACACTATTACATCCACGCCTTACACAAGCGGACATTCAACAGGGATGAAAAAAAAAAGAAATACCAACAGAGGTTGTGATGAAAATTAAATAAATACCAAATAGGACATGCACACTGGCACATAGGCTTCAATAAAATGCAGTCACAATATGAAGAAATATTATAAACGTACGGCGTTAATATTCAGTTTAGGCGCCTCAAACTTTATTTCATCAACTTTATTCTCTTTTATAAAGAACTTCTTATTATTTTGAAATGATGATGCATGACGTGCGCGTTACATCTGTGGGGTCAGAGATGGCAGCTGAGAAATAATGCGTAATTGATGCTGTCGGTGCTTTTTAGAGCATACAAATCCCAGATAAGTCTATTGATTTTCACTGTTCATGAGCAAGTCGAGAGAGAAGAAATAAATTGAAATAATATTTAACAAAGATGAAACAAATGTGTCCGCATATTAACAGATAAAGCAGGAAAAAAAAGGTTTAAATTACAGTAATTTCAGTTGAAAAATTAAACATGAAATAAATAAAGATGAAGAGTTATAATAATCAGGTTCATATCAGGTCTAATTAAGAATTTGTTTATCTGCAAACACATTTTTATGCAGCACACATAAAGCATGAAATGTTTCCTGATCACTAAGTTTTTTGGTCTTTTCTGAGCCTTGTCCACTAAAGTGTAATGCTATTTAAACTAAAGCATTAACGGTACAATGTATACCAAGACAAACTACATTTTGTCCATCTGTGTATCACCTTTCATATTTTCTATACACCAGTTCCTCAACAAGGACACCTTTTTTATGATCTTTCCTGTGAATGGCACGAACATCATTTTACTGAAGCTACAGAACGAGTCTTGTACTCTTACATCTCCTCAGCTTCCCAAGGAGCAGAGTGACTGGCTGTCAGTTGAAAAAAAAAATGGTGTATTATCTTGTCAGCAGCAAGGAGTAGAAATCCTTGCTGAGATAAACTGTTTTTAGTTCCTTTTTCGCTGTGGAAAAATGGTTTGGGACTGCAAACAAGTACACAAAACAACACAGATGTGGGACAAAGCTTGTACTGTGTAGTGTCCGTGTAGTTCTCTAACCAGTATCTGCTGCAGAGTCACTGAGCGCCCTCACTAAAAACACTTGCTAAAACAAACTGCACTCCATCTCCAACTTTGACTGACAAGAGACTCGTGAAAATTTTAAACCCTGAGTGAAACGTCTCCAATAGTACAAGCGCTGATTGAGTATCTGGGTGGATATGGCCTGTGAACACGGGCAGACAGGTAGATAGTAGGTTAATTAACAACGGCCGATGTTTCCTGTCTTTATGAATTAACGCCAAGTCAGAGCAATGGAAACAGACTGAGGTGTCACTCAAGCATCACTAACCAAATATCCTTGGCTTGTGCACATTTTAAACTTGAATACAGTTCAGCCCACTAATGAACTCACCTCCAGGTAAGACAACTATGAGGAATATGCACTGCTGGAGTATGTTGCCACTACCATTTCCTCTGAAACAAAGTACATGCATAATAAATTACAAAGCCAAACACTGCCTTGAACACAAGAAGGTAAAGTAAATTGACACCCACTGAGCAGAAATGTGTTTCACACCTCACCATCGCAGGATTGGCTCATTAACTGTGCTCTACTGCTGTAAAAATACATGGAATTATTTTGTCAGGTTGTAAGGATAATAGATGGGAATTTCTTCACCGTGAACCATTTATATACTTAAAGGCTTATTATTCTGGTACCCATTGGGTTTATCTGTCTTGAGTGCAAAAGATAATTGAACTCATAAGTCAGCAGGTTGGTTGTAATGTGTGCAGTTTCAAAGATGTTTCAAATCTTTTACTTTTTTGCTCTCTCTCCCTCTTTTTTTTTTTTTAAATTTAGTGTAAGTCTGAAACCAAAGAAATACCTGCCAGAGCATATAATACAAAAGCCCAACACAGCAGTTTTTCAGGAAACAAATTGTATTATACATGTAATTGTTCCCACCCTTCTCAAAAGAAACATTCAGTTCCCTCGCAATGCTTGGCCCTGAACTGAGTTTGAAAACTCAGCCATACAAGAGGATATAATGCCTGTTGCCTACTTGCTTTAAAAATGACCTCCGGGTTAACGGCTTCTCTGCATCTACGGGTTAAGACGAGAATGACAGTATTAGAACAGATGAACAGATAGACAGAGGCAGAACATTGACAGTTCACAACTCAATTTGAAGCGCGCAAACTATTTCAGTAGTGAAAGGAAATCTCTAATTGGATTAAATACAGTCTTATTTGGTTCCTTATCATCTCCGGTTATAGACAGCAATATTTCCTCACCCACAGTCTACCTGACCTTGAACTGTTAGATAAATCTGGGGCTCTGACGCAACTTGCTGTGTGAATGCATCTTTATTGAAAAAAAAAAACAGAGAGAGAAAAAAACGTATTAAAACATGAAGTTTTCTTTCACCCTTGCATTTTGAGTTATACAATTATTTCTTTTGCTTGGTAAAATCCAGTTTATGGAAGTGTCACTTATGAAAACATTTAATATGTCTATACAGTAAAGACTCTGAATGGAAGTTATGAAGTGATGGCTGACTTTTGAATCAGCTAAGTGATACAGTATGTGGCTGGGAAATTCTGTCCTTTTCTACTTGATATTTGTCCATATAGTAAACAAGGTAAATTCAGACCATTGACATTTCTATTTGTATGTCATTTTGGACAAAAGAAGAAAAAAAATACTGAGTTTGATTTGATTTATTTTCCCATGAAAGTTTGTAAGTTATATTCCTAGCAGCGTTGAGAAGTTATTGAACATTTAACATTTATGCAGGGTAGTGGATAGAAAAGGAAAGGTTGTTTTTTTTTTAACGGTTACACAAGAAAGATTTTTCTTGACACTTGACTGGATTACTGTGTTCACAATTTTTCTCTAATCTCAAATGTATTGAATAAAGGGTTGACTGCTATTACAGGTGGAAAATACATTTTAGGTACAGAAAAAAATCCCTGACAACTTCTAGGGAGATTAAACTTAAATAAACATCTATTCTGTATTTTTATTTTAGGATTTTTTTATTTTAGAACTCAATTTCAAAATCCTGTTTGCAGCCCAATGTCTTTCCTGCTTTACTAACACTTTACCTTTATGCTAATTATGTGGAAATATATCCACAGCATTTAACTGAATTAATTTCAGTTTCACTTTACATAATTAGTAGAAATGAATGCATGAGCTTTACAACATGATTCTGCTCCTGAAGTGATAAACACAATGCATGTTCCAGGTCAGTCTCAGGTCTGCAGAGGAGATCTAGTGTGATCATGTCCACATCTTGGAGGAGATATGGCTTTCTTCTGTCAGCGCAAACATAATTTCTTCCACACACTGGTCCAGGCCAGTGTTTCTATTCAGAGGCACGCTGTAGTGCATCCATCAAAGCTTATTCATACTTGGCTGAAAGTGCGCAGTGAAACACAGTGTGTGATCTGCAGGATAACAAAAGGGTCACACAGAGGGTGAGGAATAACCTTCATACATAATGCGCTTTACCGGCCTGTGAGGAATTCTCAGCACATTATGTCCTATGTGATACATGTTGTATTCATGAAAAGGTCTAATGTGTATAATCTGTGTGCAGTTGAGCAGCAAATTAATAAATTCATATTGTGGTTCCGTGTCATAGGCAACAAATCACTGACATTCACCAGGTTTAAATGAACTGTGCACACTACAACAGTGAATTATTAGAGGATATATTAAATTTTAT